ACTGAGAAATATCAATGAGATTTCAGAGCCCTAGGGGAGGGCAGTCAAAGGCCTGGGTACCCAGGTTGTGTTCTCCTCTATCCTGCCAATGAGAGGAATGGATATGAGGAGGAGAAGGCAGATATTACAGGTTAACATCTGGCTGCACCGCTGGTCTTGGCAAGAGGGTTTTGGTTTCCATGACCATGGGACTCTGTTTTGAGGACTACCAGCTAGTGGGGAATGAGGACAGCCACCTCAGCAAGAGGGGTACGCGTGTCTCTGCCGAAAGGTTGGCTGGCCTGATTAGGAGGGTGTTAAGCTAAGTAAGAAGGGGGAAGTGGAGTGTTACATGAATAGGGCAATCAATGTCATACAGCCCAAGTCAGAAGGTGCCCAGAGGGAGTATCGTAGTGGGAAACTGAGTATAAAACATGATTATAGAGGGTCCTCTTTCACCCCTCCTGGGAAACCTACAGGCTCAAATAATTCCCTGAAATGCCCAGTGTATGAAGCATAGGGAATAAACACGGGGAAATGGAGATCTGTGTGCAGTCTCAGCATCATGATCCCATTGGAATTATACAGACATGGTGGGATAGCTCACACAACTGGAGTGCTGTCATGGAAGGCTATGTGCTTTTTAAGAAGAACAGGCTGGGAAGGCGAGGTGGTGGAGTTGCTCTGTATATCAGAGAGCAACTGGAATGCATGGAGCTCAGCCTGGGAGTCCATGATGAGTGAGCTGAGAGCTTGTGGGTAAGGGTTAAAGGCCAGACTAATGAGGGAGACACTATGGTAAGTGTTTGCTACAGGCCACCTGACCAGGATGAGGATATTGACCAGGCCTTCTACAGACAGCTGGAACTAGCTTCACAACCACAGGCCCTGGTTCTCATGAGGGACTTCAATCACCCTGATATCAGCTGGAAAGATAACACTGTGAGCCACAAATGGTCCTGGAGGTTTCTGCAGTACATCACTGATAACTTTTTGACAAAGCTGTGGAGGAGCCAATGAGCAGAGGTGCACTGCTGGACCTCGTACTAACAAATACAGAGGGACTAGTTGGAAATGTGAAAGTAGGGGAGAGACGTGACTGCAGCAATCATGAGATGGTGGAGTTCAGGATCCAACGAGAAGAAGCAGCGCTGTAAGCAGCCTTGCAACCATGGACTTCAGGAGGGCCAAGTTTGTCCTCTTTGGGGACCTATGTGAAAGAATCCCATGGGCTAGGGCTCTGGAAGGAGGGTGAGGGGGTCCAGGAGAGCTGGTTAGTTTTCAAGCAGCATTTGCTCCATGCTTCAGGATCAGTGCATCCCTACAAGTAATAAGTCAGGCAGGGGGAGTAGGAAGCCTGCATATATGAACAGGAAGCTCCTGACAAACAGAAGGCAGCATACAGGATGTGGAAGAAAGGATAGGCCCCCCGGGGAGAAATACAGGAACGCTGTCACAGAATGCAGGGATGAAACAAGGAAAGCTAAGGCATATTTGGAATCAAATTTGGCAAGGGATGTTAAAAATAAGAGCTTCTTCAAATATATCAATGGCAAAAGGAAGATCAGGTCTCCCTGGTGGACCGTGGGTCAGCTAATGAATGGGGAGGGTGCCCTGGTTATGAAAGAAGCAAAATAAACACAGCTGTTGAATGCCTTCTTCTCTTCAGTGTTTACCAAGGACAGCCCTCTGGAATCCCAGACCTTACAATACCAAACTGGGAGGAGGAGCTGATAGCCCTGAGGGCTGCGCTGGCATCCAGAGGGACCTGGGCCGACTGGACAACTGGGCAGTGAAAAATCTCATGAAGTTCAACAAGGGCAAGTGCAGGATCCTGCACTTGGGGACGAATAACCCTGGACACCAGTACAGATTAGAGCTTGACCTTCTGTAGAGCAGCCCTGCAGAGAGGGACCTGGGCATTGTGGTGGATGACAAGATGCAGTGTGCCCTGGTGGCCAAGAAGGCCAACGGGATCCTGGGGTGCATTAAGAAGAGCGTCTCCAGCAGGTCGAGGGAGGTGATCGTCCCCCTCTACACAGCCCTGGTGAGGCCACATCTGGAGACTGTGTCCAGTTCTGGGCTCCCCAGTACAAGAGGGATGTGGAGCTGCTGGAGATAGTCCAGCGCAGGGCTACCAGGATGATCAGAGGCCTGGAACATCTGCCCTGTGAGCAAAGGCTGAGGGAGCTGGGTCTGTTCAGCCTGGAGAAGAGGAGGCTGAGGGGGGACCTGATCAGCGTGTATAAATACCTCAAGGGAGGCAGTGAGGAGGAGGGGCCGACCTCTTTTCAGTGCTTGCCAGCAACAGGACTAGAGGAAACGGCCACAAGCTGAGGCATCAAAAGTTCCACGGGAACTTAAGGAAAAATTTCTTAACAGCGAGGGTGCCAAAGCTCTGGAACAGGCTGCCCAGAGAGGTTGTGGAGTATCCGTCTCTGGAGATCTTTAAAACCTGCTAGGACGCAGCCCTGTGCCCCGTGCTGTAGGTGACCCTGCGTGTGTAGGGAGGTTGGACGAGATGACGACCTCTGAGGTCCTTTTCAACCTTAAGGATTCTATGATCATTGAGTCCAACTGTAAACCCTTCAACACCATACCTGGTAAACCACGTCCCTAAGCGCCTCGTCCACACCCTTCTTGAACACTGTCAGGGGTGGTGACTCCACCACCTCCCTGGGCAGCCTGTTCCAGTGCTTCATCACTCTTTCTGTGGAGAAATTCTTCCTAACATCTAATCTTAACGCACCGCTCCCCGCCCCCCTCCCCGGGGGTCAACAACTCGAGGCCCTTTCCTCTTCTCCTAGCTGTAGTTATTCTGAAGAAGAGATCGACACCTGCCTGAGTGCAATCTCCTTTCAGGTAGCTGTGGAGAGCAACAAGGTCTCCCCAGAGCCTCCTCTTCTCCAGACTAAACAATATATGTTTAGGAACAGCTCCCTCAGCTGTTCCTCCTAAAGTCTCTGCTCCAGTCCCTTTACCAGCTTCACTGGCCTTCTTTGGATACCTTCCAGCACCTCCATGACCTTCTTGTAGTGAAGGCCCCAAAACTGGACACAGGATTCGAGGTGCAGCCTCACCAGTGCCAAGTACAGGGGGACAATCACTTCCCTGCTTGTGCTGGCAAYGCTGTTCCAGATAAGTCAGGAGACTGTTGGCCTTCTTGGCCACCTGGGCACACTGCTGGCTCATGTTCAGCTGGCTGTTGACCAACACAAAGAGAGGAGAGAGAAAGAAACTGACCTGAGAGGCAACGTGTTTCGGTTATGTCTTTGCTAGTGGCTTGAATTTCTCATGCTACTTAAGCAAAAGCAATACTGTGTTAAAATTTAATGCAAGGTGTGTCATGGCATGTGCCAGCCTTCATTATACGATGAGCTGTCATTAGGAATCACCACACCAAGCAGAGATTGAGAGGCAAAGCATGTGTGTGCATGCAATTTAAATGTCAGAATGAAAAAGCTTTGAAAAGACACCACACACGATCCACTGTTTTATTTTAATATAAAGGAAAGTTCTCATTCTAGCCTCTCATCTCCCTAGGTATGACCTCCAAACAAAAGATGCCATTTATTTAAATACTGAATATGCCTTACTATAGACAGCAATTTTTGATGTAGCCATTGAAGAGTGAAATAACATAATCTTTGTAAATTATAAAAAAATCTACATACTCCTTCTTCCATCCTGCCCATTAACCCTGAGACCTGCAAGCACAATTCCTCTGTGCAGAAACACACAACAGATGGATGCCTTTTTTGAAAAGTTTTCTGGGTGACATTTTTAGAAGTAGTTATTTTTCAGAATATTTCAGAATATAATCTATATTCAGAATAGAATAATAGAATATTCTATATCTATTCTGAATAGATTATATATTAATTCAGATTATATTCTGAATAGATATAATAGATTTATTTATTTAGATTTATCCCCAAACTCAGCCCCAATTTCATTCATCCATCCATTTCATTCATCATTACATTAAATATGTATATATAATGAGTGCATTGCATTCAATATGTCAGACAGCACAATCAATGCCTGTGTGCCCTTATTTATTTGCTGGGAGGCCACCTAAGGCATATTGGGTGTGATCTACAGATACTGCTACAGAAGCACTTGCCACAAGCCTCTTTGTAGTACCTGAGCCAATGTGCTAAGTGCCTAAATGTGGCATACTGCAAATTTCTTCATCCAGACTTGCACAACAATTCTGCGTGGCCAGGATCTGCTTTAGCAGAGAAGTCCCCTGAGATTAATAAATTACTGCCCTTGCGTAACATATGACAACATGGACATTCCTATTCTTGCACTGTTTTAGATCAGTGCTGCTTGTCAAGACTGTCTGGTGGCCTGCAGATGTTAACTTCAAGAAAGTGACTTCTTTCTGCAAATTTGAGACTATTAATAGCCTGAGGACCACCGTTTTGGCTTACTACACAAGCACACAGGATTCAATGGCTTGTTTAGAAAGGAATGCTTTGAGTACCTCACACACTTCATGTGAGTATATTCTGTAAACATGCTGTTCCCTAAGCAGTGGAATAAATGAAGATTTGTACCCTTTGCTTCTAAGTCTTCTCCACTAAAAGCCCCAGTCCCATGATTTCTTTTCTAGGTCAGACCTAAGTGTGTGGTGATAGGAGAGCCAGCACCAATGTCTAGGTGGTACAGAATGGATAATGACAAAGTTTTGTCCACTCTTCCTCAAGCAGAGGTATTATTTTAGGTTCTTTTTCTTCTCATTTGTCAATTTTCACAGAAATTGTAACAACCTAATTATCTCTGGGATTTCTGCTCCCTGCCAAATTCGGTTTAATTGGCCCAAGGTTTCAAAAATTATTACTCTGCAGTCTATCCCTCTCCACGCAAACCTCATTTGCTTAAAGAAGCAGGTCAAAAAAGAAAAACAAATGTAGCATAATGCTGTGAGAGCACATGAGCATTTAGCACACCTAACAGCTCAGTGTTAGGTGTGTTAGTTTACTGTTAATGCACACATATACATCAAAACATACCGTCTTTTCCTCATTTTCAAAAGCTTCTCTTGCTTCTTCATAGGTACAGATTTCTTCTCGGCATTCATGCTCTATATCACCTTGCTTTAATTCTTCCAAAAATCTGTTGGCTCTTGGGTATCTTTTAAACACAGAATTGGCCTTGTCCTCTGTTAGGAACACTGAATAAGAGGGAAGATAACAGAAGTCACTTATAAAATATCCATAACTTCATGGTTAAATTGCTCAAAGAAACTGTGCTTGGGGGGGGGGAGGGCTTTGAAAAAGCACGATAAAAGAACTCTCTAACTCTCTAATGTTTATTTTTCTACTAATTATAGAAAATCCAGGTAGGAATATATGTGACAGACCCACCGAGCTCCCCATTTCTCTATTAGATAGCATTCAGGATTACTTCAAATTTTTTACTTCAGGATTTAAAACCTGTGCTGAAGAAGAATACTCAGACACACACTCAAGTGATTTCTTAAACTAAGGTGATAGACTATGAGTTATACAAGCTATATTTGCTTGCAAACACTCCAAAAAAAATACTGGCATCCACCCTGGAACATCTGCATGCTCAGAAGTTTTTGAAGATATAAATATTTCTAAATATTATTGAGCCACTAAAGTCATACACTAGAAGACTGGCATTTATTGAAGTCTAACTCCTATGAATATTTGCCTAAGCAATTTTGAAGTTGGCTTTCTAAGTTCATTTCAGAAATGTTGGTGAAAGAGCAACATTTTCAGGGAGCAGAAAAAAAAGATGAGGACCTTATTCCATTTTACTGAATCATATGCATAAAACCTATTTTGATACAGTCTTATCTTACAATGTCAACAACTTATTCCTCAGAAACCAAAACAATGAATCACATATATTCAGAGAATCAAAAATATATTTAAAAATGATGGAGAAAAGTATATTTGCTTTCCTTAGTAATATTCCTAGAGTGATGCTTTCTGTTCAAAGAGAGCTATGAGTAATCTCCCTTAACTTTCCTGACCAACAAACTTGTTATGAGTATCATAAAACTGGAACACTCCAAAATCTGCAAGACGGAATAGCTTCCAAATTATGCCTGCAGTGTATGATGCAGAAATTCTTCAGCTATGTCAGGCCAGGAAACAAGAAAAGCACCATCTGTGAAACACTTTGTAGACTGGGACTATAAATTTGAAATGACCTACCTATGATTTTATGTAAATTAAAGTTTGCTGTATTTTTTCTTAAGAAATCGTATTTCAAGTACTAAAGTGAAAAGGCTGCAAGTCTATAAAGATCAGCACTATATTGCTTTGCTTTCTTACAGCTTAACCATGGTGACTTTTCCAGCAAGGAGGCTACTATCATACTGCGACTGATTTACTGATCTATTTTAACATTAATTTCTGTTTATTCAATATCTCTTGTGTGCTTACTTTATAAATCATTAAACTTTGTCACCTTCCTTTTGCAAAAGATTAAAGATCAAACTCAGTGATACCAATCGGTCACTCTTATGCTTTCAGTTGAATACCTGATGAGGGTACAAAGTTGTGTGCGAGCCAGGTATTTACAAATAACCTGCTACACACCAAACAGGCCCCTTTTATGCATGTAAATTACTAGAGGCACCCCCCCACACACACACACATTATTAGTCATATTGACAGTGCATACAACTGTGCAGCCACAATTTTGCTTTTCTTTAGCACTGCAAGTGAACATATAGGCATTTTTCATTGAGGAAGTTCAATGATTAAATGAAATACAAAGTAATGTTCAAAAGCTCTTTCAAAACGCCTGAATGATCACCTAAGTGTGGTATGATTTAGGATTTGTTCATGTCAGGAAGCCGGCACACAACCAGGCACCGGGATGAACCTCCAGTGCTCAACCTACTTCTCAGCTGCTCCTGTGTGCGTTCCTGAAGCAGGACAGACCAGACATCTTTAGGAGTGTCTGTATGTGACTAACTGAGGAACAGATAGTGAACTTTAAACCAAACCTTTCCCTTCCTTCAGCAGATGAGACCTGGGGAATATCATTGCACAGACAGAACAAATCCTCAAAGAGGAGGAGAAAAAAAAAAAAAAAAGGAAAAAATGCAATGAGAACAACTAGTGAAATTCTGGATTGTGTGGAGGGAAGAAGGACTGAAAAGGAAAACACAAGTGACCAAAAATACAATGATTTTAAGCTATCAGCTCTCAGAAGCAATGTACAAGTCTTTGTTTCTACCAAGGAAGTAAACTGAGAATGAAGGTTTAAAAGGTGTAATGTCATGCAATGTTGCATTCACTATGCACTGAGTTTCTAGATTATACTTCAGCATTCCAAGCAGAGCAAAGCATACAGAGCAAGTTCTAGAGCAAAGCATACAACTCTGCCTCAAAACAGGCTAAAGAATAGCAAAACATAGAAACTACACAACATTCATGAATGGCCCCCTTTTTTTTTTTAAATAACACTATTTTGCAACCCATGTTCAGAAAGGGCCTTAAGTCTCTAAAGCTACTGTATAGAAACCCACACATCAGAGATAAAAAGGCCCAACAAAGAGAATAAAAAGCACATTATATTCATTCTGAAGGGATCTGAGAAATCTTGTGATTAGTCCAGATCAGGAACTGCTTCTGAGCTGCAAGATTAGAAAAATGAAATAAAACAGCTTACAGGTTTGTTTTGATTTTGTATTTTCAATGCTTCACAGACTCCCAGTGGCTTTAAAAATTTATTCAGAAATCAATAAAAACACTGCGGAGAAGCACAAAAACCAGATCACACGCTTATCAAAGCAATCTTGATGGAGGCACTGATCAAAAGATATTGATTTCATGAGAATCAGTCATTGTCTGATGTTTCCCCTAAGAAGAAACAATGGAACCACAGTGCAGAAGGCACCATCTCCTTAGTGATTAGGGCACCATAATGCAGGCACTCACCCTAACTGCACAGAAGCGGGTGAAAAAACTTCTCTGCTTCAGATGCCCACCTAGCCAGGCTACAGCATGGCCAAATTCACTCTAGCTGTTACTATGGGAGCTTAAGATGATCCGGGAAACACCGCACATAGCAAGAATCAAGGGTGGAAGCAAGATGAAGCCTAATTACTAACTTCGTTGAAATAACTAACAAAGACAGGATAAGGAAAAAAATCAAAGTTACTTTTTTGGTGTTATGTAAGACAGTCACAAAATACAAATAATTTAAAATTCTTTCATCTTCCCAACCTCCTGTCCTTATTTTTGGTAGAATATTATGTAAATGTGCAACTACCAAATCTGATGCACTGGAGCACATATTTATTTCTTCAAACATGTTTGCCTTCAGTACTCCCTGTGTGCAAGTAACACTTGGCTTTTAGAGCTTTTATGCATCAGAAAGGTACAAAAACACTATTTCAAAGTACTAGTTACGAATTATTGTTATTAAAGGGCATAACACAGCTCGATTTATTACATATTCCCAGGGAACCTTGCGTACAATCAACAGCAAGTAGAAACTCAATATAAAACAAAAAATGCTGCTAAAGTGACATATTTGTAAATATGAAAATAGGCAGTGTTTTTTTAATACTCCACCAACTCACCATCTAAAGTTCTAAAGAAAGTGTAACAGCACATGTAGAACTGAGCTTATCTTCCTCCGGGAGTTGCATGATTGAATGCATGTCTGCCTAATTTATCCTATACATATACACATACACATACACACACACACACTCTTACATATAATCCTATACTTTGCAATAGTTACTTTTATGATATCTAGAGCCTGCAAGATCTTCATCATCAAAACCTTGTGCAAAGCAACACTAAATATATATGTAGGTGCTCAGGTACCAAAGCAGATTCCTCACGAGGAGTGAGGCAAGCACCTAACATTGAACTATAACGAAACTGGGTGTAAATTATTTTCCAGATGGTCCAATCAGAGTTATTTTTAGCAAAAAGCAGTTTCTTAATGTATTTGGTGCACCATGGAAGTCACCATTTCAAATTACAGACAGAATCCACAACAAAACTTTCTCTTAAAAGGAAACTGCAGTTGACAGCTCTGGAGATTTGTTCTGATCTCTTACGAGAGATGAGGCTCAGATCTATCCCTAAGTCTCCCAGCATTCTTTAAGGCTTAAGTGGAGGAAGACCAGAGTAAGGAAGAAGTGGGGATTTGCATCAAAGATGCCCTAGAACACACACAAAAAGAAATCATAACCCATAACAAAAAATACTACTAAAGCACACTTCTTTATCCAGTATTCCCACTCCTGCAGATACAAGCAATACCATTAAATAACTCAAGCAGATGCAGAAGGATTTAGCTTGTCACAGCCTTTTCTCTTTCCACATGCTGCTTCTTCCCCTAATATCTTCAAAAGATTTAGGTCATGACAAAGTCCATAAAAGTGGATAAATATATCTGAGCCCTGCTAACTGATGCTGCCACAGCCAAGGAATATAGGCTTTAGTGACAGAAGGAACAGGAAGAAGGGGCAACTCAGAAAAGTCTCTTGGTAACCAACAGAATTGCAAAGCAAAATCCCAGGCACTTGGAGCACCAAAGTTTCTTGTAAAAGCTCTGATGAGAACGTTAGCAGCCTCCCCTTCCCTGCTCCCTTATCAAGCAGACCAAACCCACCATCAAATATTAGAAATAAACATTTCACTTTAAATAGATATTGGTAAGTTTCAATCTTGCTGTAGATTACCTTAATTACTATTCAGCTAGGACAGAGGAGAACAGTATATTCTTCTGAGTATTTAGTTTTAAAATTTTAAAAGTGATTTGTGCTCTGAGACTCAGGAGTTAGTTGGGAAAGCTTGGGGAACAGTCAAACTGAAGTATGCGAGGCTGCAAATTCACCCCTACACTCTCTGTTCTGGTGCTAGCTTTCAAAGGTCTGTGAATAAAACTTACGGAGTTTAATATTATAGCCCACATATAGCACCTATGTCAGAACAACAGTACAATTCCAACTCAGTTTCATGTGAGTGAAAATCTACACCATATGTAGCAACAAAAACTACTGCAATGGCAGAGGATATTTTTTGCATGAAGTGACAGGGATTTTAGGGGGAGGCTTTCCTGCAGGTGTTAATACTGGCTTTCATGGAGAATGAGGTATGCATATTCATTCATCACTAAAAAACTTACCACTGTCCATGATGATTACTGTCAAGGCAGGGAGTTTGCAAATATCAAGCCTGTTAATAAAAAAAAAAAAAAAAAGGTTTTGTTGAGTTTGTGAATTAGGATTAATAGGGAAAAGTTTCTCTTGAATCCCAATAATACTATATTAATGCTGGAAGACTCTGTGGTCAAGATTGATCCTTCTTCTGAAATGCACCACTTACTGCATGCAAACCAATGTCAGTGGAACAGAAAGAACACTTAGCAGGCAATAACTCTTGCGAAATGACGAAGGCTTTATGCCTTTTTTAAGCTTTCCTTTTTTAGATCATACAAAATTATTGACATAAACGTGTGCATATAATTCTCAATTAATCTGCAATCAACCTACCCTAACATGAAGGGTATTACACTCTTTACTGTAATTATTTATACTTTAACCAAGACACTTGTCAGAGAGCACCAGGTTCACACATTACTTGAGCGATGGATGAGGTTTTCAGAATCAGAATAAACACATGCAAATTCAATCAGAGTCTGTAGTGATTAAAACAGGATGGCAAAGGAATTTGCAAAACATGTGAGCATCCCAGTCTACAAGAGTCTACATGTATTTTATACCTCATCTTGGAAGGAGAACAGAGAAGAGACGCTCTCAGGCAAGAAAAGATCTCTTTGCACTACGCAGACAGAAAGCCAACAAGAACCACACCTGAAGATAGCAGTATGCAGTGAGCGAAAGGCTATCACGGGCTAGAGGCAAGGGCAGAGATTAGATTGTTGATGGCCTGTTTCAAGCAGCAGAAAGGTGCAGCTCTCTCACTGGGCAGATCATTATGCAAGGTGGAAGTATTTTTTTTTATTAATAAATCAGCAACTTCTAAAAGTTAACATCAGTCTGCTTCAAAGCTCTGGCTATATATCAACATATGACAGATAACACACTCATGCTCTCATGCTCTATTTGAAAATACACACCGAATATTATCTTTGATGTAGCTTGGTCATTCCAATATACTTAAATAAAGCCCACAAAAATATGTTAATTTTAACAGTGAACATGTCATTACTGCTGTAAGAGTGTAGTTCAGAATACAATTGTATTCAGTTATTCAGGAAGGAAGGTATTCTATAAGATACCTTTATATGAGGATTAGTACACTAACAATAGAGGTCATATTATTATTTTTAATACAGAAAGAATTAGGATTGCTAATTAAAATGCATGTATTGGCATAAAAACCCTATAGGAAGCCCAGGCCTAAGTTTCCTTATTCATACTGAGAGAGAAATCGCATTGTACTGCAGGTCTACTGTATTTTTTCAGTGCTTTAAAATAAGGAGGGTTGGTTTCTTTCTTTTTAAAAAACACAGAAATCTTGCAGCAGGAAACCTGACACTTGTCATTGCTGTGGCTTAATCAAGGATGTCTGTTGATAAGTTTTTGTTTAAATTTTACCAAAACAGTCTGGAAAAATACTTATTATTACAAAATAAAAAAATACAAAAACTTGTAACAGAGAACCCTTTAAGACTCGTTCCACACACTCATATGCATTACTTTATCTTTTCCTTGCAGTTTATTCATGCTCGTTCTACTGCACAATGCAAAATGACAGCATTTTATTTGCTTTCATGGTACAGTACTGGGCTGAGCAGGATTAGAAGTCAAATATAATCAATCAAAATGTGATTTCTCTTCTAATACTCCAGTCCTATCGGTTCTGCCTCATATTGTGCAAGATGCTGTTTCTGAAACGCGCTGCTCTCATCCTGCCATCTTGAGCAGGGAGCAGATGCTGGGCTCGTCTTGCCCAATCTTGAAAGAAACATCATGGCAAGAGAGACACCTGAACCTTTGGTTGATTAACTAGCAGTTTGCAAGGGGAAGGCTTGAGAATTCCTCCTGTTCCTCCTTGAACAAATGTATATACTGCAAAACGACTAAAACAAGCTTGCCTCACTCACCTTGTGAGTCTTTTCTGAAGGAAAACAAGAAATCGGTTACTTCTTCCTTCTCCCCCACCAATACCCTCTTTGTACTTAGTGTATGATTCTCTACATCTATTTCAGCTTATTCTTGCAAGATGAACACTTTTTTTTTCTTTTAGAAAAAGCTAAGCGTGCACAAAATCTAACTGGCTAGTGAGGGCCAGTTAGATGTGTGACTATTTGTCACACGAGGGCAGACTGCAGTGCCTGTCAGAAACGCCACCACAGTAAATGCAGACATCTATTCCTATGCATTACATAAAGACATCCCTGTCTAGCAGTAAAATTATAGCATTAGGACTGAAAGAAATGTTAGGCGGAGGAGTGGGCAAGTTCATGAAATCAACATGGAAATCACGGGTCTAACTATTCTCTTTGTGACCTTCTTGCATCATTTACTCCCCTCCCCCTGGTTTCCAGCCTTTGCAATAGCCCCTCAGGGAAGATTCCCAGCACTGAATCATGTGGCCCATGACAGCAACCCCACTCTCAGCAGCAGCACAATACGAGCCATGCATCTTGTCAAGTGTCTCCTCTTGAAAGAGAACTTTTTTCTGCATTAAACCTCAGCTAATCTTTAGCACTTCATACTTATGACAAATAACCTTGCTGTGGATTTCAATGCAATGTTTAAAATTATGCCTGTTCCCATCCATGTTTACAGTGTCACAATTTGAGAGCTCTGTCTTTGGGGAATGTAATTGGGGAGCAGGGGGGAGAAGCAATGTCACAGAACCCTGTTCCTGGCCTCTATCCAACTGTTCCTTCTCCCCAAATGTGAAGGAGCTTAATTATATCTAAGCTTTGCTCTCTGACAGTCTTGGTTCAAGTTGACTATTGCTCAAAGGTCACTTGGAAGAAAGGATTCAAAAGAGCTAATTATCTAAACCTGTTTTCTTTCATAAACCAGCTAATAAAACTGAAGAGGGTGGCAACATGACAGAAACACCTTGACCTTTTACTGACTCATTTAGTCCCCCACTCAGCAATTAATTTCTCAGCTATTAATTTCAGCTTTCCAACTTTCTAGTCTCTGTGATGTCAAAGCAACTTCCCTCCCCTCCCCATACATATACACAAATGCAACAATAAAAGCCACACGGGCAGCATCTTACTAATAACACCGATGCTTTCTGTTTTAGGAAACCTTCTCTCAGCTATTCTGGACATACTACCCTCAAAAATATGTAACACACCATCTTAGATTTGTCTGTAGAAGCAACAAACAGTACAGTGGAAAGCACAGGCTGCAAAGGGGATGTGCCAAGGCCTCCGCTGCCCTGCACAAGCACGGTGCTCACCTTGTGCTTCATTCTGCATGAAGCCAAGGTAGACGAGTGAAAGCAGTACTGAAGCAACACTCAGCTGTACATTTCTTTCCACGACTATATTTCCTCCTCAGTATTGAGGGAGTCCACACCTTGTATAAACTCTCTACAAACACACAGCACAGAATATGTTTATATAGTGCTTTCCAAACTGTTTATACTCTAGCGTTGCTGTGCATCTCTCATATGGGATAGCAAGCGAGTTTCAGCTCTGAAAGTACATTCCTGTTGGCTCAAGCTAATGTTTATGGCAACATTTTGTTGCATTTATTAGAATAACTGTATTCTGCCTGTTCACAAATACACCTCTCTGGCTACATCTTTAATGGAAACTTCTCCGCAGTTGGTACCATTAAAGGACAGAGCCAGGTAAAGGATATATCCAAACTGACTTGGTTATTCTTGCTCACTGACCATCATGGGGACACACAACCTAAAGAACAAAGACTATCCTTAAGGAAAGGGATTACAAGAGAATGAAAAATAAGGATAATATAAGGAAAAGAATCAATACTGACCCTTGCTTGATTTCTCACTTGTTGTATTTAATGGGGTCTTTGAGGTCTTCAAAACCCGCCCGGATGCCACCCTGTGCCACATGCTGTAGGTGTGCCTGCTTGAGCAGGAAGGTTGGACTAGATGATCTGTAGAGGTCCCTTCCAACCTTAAATATTCTGTGAATTCTGTGAATCTGTGACTTTGAACACTGTAATGCTACAGGCCCCTATCACAAGAGGGGAGGAACATGCACTCTGACGAAACAACTTGTGCCCTTTTACAGTACAAATGGCTACTAACTTCGATTTTGTGATGTGATGAATTAATGAGACTCGTGGAATACAGTTTAGAACTACATGTCACACAGAACTGTTAAAACAAAACAAAACAAAAACTCAACCCAGCCCTTGAATTATAAAACTTTTAGGGTCTTACGGAGCTTTTTAGGAAAGTAGGTGCATATTGAGGGACACTGGTAACTAAAACATGCCTAGATGTTCTATCTAAAAATAAGTACACCTTTGCTAGTGTCCCAACCCAAACCAAGAAAATCATTAATTCAAAATGTCTAAGTTGGGCCTGTTTAGCCTGGAGAAGATAGAGAGGGAATCTGATTAATATGTATAAATACCTGAAGGGGGAATGTAGGAGAGAAGGGGTCAAGCTCTTTTCAGTGGTGGCCAGCGATAGGGGCAATGGGTACAAGCAGAAACACACTAAGTTCCGTCTGCATGTGAGGAAGGACAACCTCACTGTGAGGGTGCCAGAGCCCTGGCACAGGCTGCCCAGGGAGGCTGTGGAGTCTCCTTCTCTGGAGATCTTCCAAACCCATCTGGATGCCGCCCTGTGCTCTGGGTGTCCCTGCTGGAGCAGGGGGGTTGCACTAGATGATCATCTCTGGAGGTCCCTTCCAACCTTAATCATTTTCTGATTCTGTGAAAGGGGAATGAACATGCTCCCAAGACAAACAGCCTGGTGGGCAGGACAACTGCATGGAGAAGTATGTTCTCCCTTTGGCAAGACTGCATTTTCAGTTTGTTTTAAAAGCCATGGGAACCCTTTGGGGCAGTTCTTGCGAAGAATAACTCAACACCTACGAAACCACTAGTATTGAAACCAGAATTACACAACTGATCTGGAGCCTGTCTATATAGCAATCTATATAACTGCCTTCTGCAAACCTCAATTTTCTTTAAGGTACTATTAAAGAAAGTTGCTTTACACTGTACATAATCATGATGCTTTGGGAATTCAAATTCAGAGTATTTCTTAATTTGATAGCCTGTTTGTATGTTGACATTACAACCTGGAAAAGAAGCAGAGGAA